CCCCAAAACCCCAAAACCCCAAAACCCCAAAACCCCGGTAACATTTGAGAATTTTGAGAATAATACAGGTTCAAAATTAATAAAGATTTTCCAAATTAAAGAAAAATGGGACTGATTAAGGATACTGCCTCATTTGTGAAGGAAAACTGGAAGGTTTTACTTCTGTTTGGGACGCTGCTAGTGGCATTTTTTGGAATTGTTTATCTGGTAATGGCACTTATGGCTTTTGTGATTACATGGTATGGGTCATTTTTGGTAATGTTTGTGATCTTCTTCTTCGTTAGCAGAAAAATAGCAAAGGTTATGGTATTCCCAGGCCACTGTAGCTTCTTTAAAAGAAGCGTAGAGTTTGCACAATGTAAAAAGATGTGCTCTCAAGTTATTGGACAAGTTCTTGAACAGAGATATTCCCTGGATGTGATGACTTATACACTAATCGACTTTGAGAGGATCACCGATCTAATAGATGTGAACTATAATACTTGAGAAATGATCAAGTCTATTGAATATACTCTATCACGACAAAGAGAGTTAGGGACAATCACTGATGACCAGGAAAGCCTTCAAGAAAAGATAGAGATATTAAAAGGATCCTTCAAAAGCATTAATGTTTTTATCGGTGATCAAAGAATGAATTTATGGGATCTCGGAGAATATTATGATTCAAGAGATGAGAAATTTCTAAATAAACAATTCAAATTTGAAAGTATTGATATTGTCAAAAGATGTGTTAGAACCTGAACTGATTTTTGCGGTTCATTTCAAGAGTTAGTACCGTTTAGTGATGATGGAGATCCAGCTCCTGTTCCCTATATTGGCAAAGGAAGAGCATTTCTGTCGAATACCACCTTTGGATGAATCGATCAATTGAGGGTAGAAATGGAAAATATGTAAGGTTTACTTTGTTGTTATCATTTATCATGATATTTGAGCTTATTTCAGATTTTCTGAATCTCAAAATTCCTCATTTTTAATTTTCTTCTAATTTAATCACTGATTTAACATTCAAAACTTCAAAGAAGTTGTAGCAAGTCGCTTACATTCAAAAATATAACTTTCTACAATCTTTACAACTAGGGGACTCTCTAAAGTGTCTAACATTAAGACTTTCTTCAAAACTTCCCCACAGAAGAGGGAGAATCTACCTTAAAACTTTCTATAAATCTGTTCAAAATTTGGGTGACACAATTGAAATTCTCTAAACAGCAATCCTAACTTTCTGTAGGTTATAAAAGGGGTTAATATCACCCTGGATTCTGAGGATGGCAAGAAGATAGATTGTATGTTCATTCCAGGTATCTCCCAGAATCCTGAACACGAAGGGAATGAGGAGTACTCCCTTCCCACAATGATTTACTGTAACCCGAACGCAATGCTTTATGAATATCTACAATATGATGATGAATGGGTTGACTTTTACAGAAACTTAGGCATCAACCTCTTTGTATGGAACTATAGAGGCTTCGGAAGATCAACAGGATCTCCTACACCAGCCAAGATGTATGAAGACGCTGAGATGATTGTAGAATATCTCAGAAACGAAAGAGGCATTAACCAAAGTAAGTTTATAGAGAAAATACCTATAGAAATTGGAGCACATGGGCAATCTTTAGGAGGACCTGTAGCAGCATACTTAGGCAGAAACTGCAACATAGATTTTCTATTTGTAGACAGAAGTTTTAGTGAAATAGATGTGGTAGTAGAAACTTCCTATGGCAAATTCTTAAAGCATTGACTTAACCTCTTATCATTGTATTCTTGGAAATTTGAAGCTTCTAAAAACTTCATTTATTCAAATACTTATAAAGTTATTTCTTGAGATCCTCAGGATGAAGTTATCCCAGACAGAGCATCTCTTAAGAATGGAGTTTCAAGAGAAATAATTTATGCAGAAGCAACAAGAAAGGAGAACAAGATTTCTATTGGTCCTAAGAAGAGAAGACAAGCCAAAGGAGTAGACATGAATGACTATAGCCATATCATTAACAAAGAAGAAGCTAAAGGATTTTTCGATTCGATAAAATACCTTTACAAAATTATCCTCAGATTCGCATCTTCAGATACAAAGAAAAGGAGGAAGCTTGAGCAAAAAGAAGTTTCAGAGGAGAACAAAGATAATCACTTTGTTCCATCAGGGTATGAATCAAATACAAAATTACATGAACTAAGTCCTGACTCTGATCACTCAGCAGCTAATATAAATTACAGATCATCTGTCTTAACTACAGACCGCTCTTTAGCAGAGAACGACCCTCTTGATGACAAGGAAGAATATAATGAGACCTTTAATGAAAGTGGAGTCCTGAATATTACTGATACCTTCGAAATAGACCCAAATGAGAGATCTAATGAAGACAAACAGCTTGAAAGAGAGATCAGGAAGGAAAGAAAGAAGCAAATCAAAAGAGAACAATTCTCAGCTTTTGATGATAGAAGAGATCCTACTGACTATGATGTACTAAATAGATTTCTACTTTGAGTTCATAAATATCTTGATAAACTAGATAGTGCAGGAAGAACCTTCAGACAAATTTTTGGATTAGAGGAAAAATATCAATTCGAAGCTTTTAGGTATTTCATAATTAATCTAGAAGTCTATGGCAGCTTTGTACCACTCAGTGATCGGCTACATGATCCTCAGGTTACCAGAATCTCATCATACCTTAAGATATCCAAGGTGAGGAAAGGACTTGAAGCCCTGGTAAATGAATTTGAAGAGACTGATGGAAAAGTTTTCAAAGATGTGTGGCTGAAAACCAGAATGATAAACTATAATTTCAACAAGATAGAAGCATTTCTAGCCAGAAAGCATAGTCAGTCATCCCATAAAAAGGTTGACGATAAGAAATCCTTCTTTATCGATTATGATATCGAACATCATCCTCCTGAAGAAGAGAAGAAGGAATCTCCATATGATTTTGAAAGCACATTTGGAGATGGAACTAAAAACAGTACTCCAAGATCAGGCCTCTCTGTCGTTGATGATGACGAGGATGAATATCATTACGTCAAGACACTATTCAAAGATTTCACTGAACCAGATGTAATGAGATCAGGATACTTAATCCCTCTCACAACCAAACACGGAGGGATGTTCTCAAAGAAAGAATCAAGCCTCCTTGAAACCCATCTTAGGCAATCTGGGTTTATATAATCAACAATTTGAAATATTAAAGGGGTTTTGGGGTTTTGGGGTTTTGGGGTTTTGGGGTTTTGGGG